AGATGAGTGGAGTTCGCTGAAAGATAGGAGGAAGAAGGAGGAAGAAGGAGGAGACAGAGGGACAGAGGAACAGGGGAGGACAGAAGCAGGGCGGAAGATTGAGACAGCAGTGACGCAGAGGAGGGGGGGGGGGGGGGGGGGGGGGGGGGGGGGGGAGATTTAAGAGAAGAAAGATCAGAAGAAGGTCAAGGGTCGGACTTACTTTCTTCTCCAGCAACCTCACTCTCCTCGTAGCCTCCAGGCCGTCCATGTTGGGCATCTGAATGTCCATGAGGATGAGGTTGTAGGGATCGTCCTTATTGTCCTCAACGAGCTTCAGCGCTTCGACGCCATCGCTGGCAATGTCTGCAATGACAGCATCCTTGCCTGAGGGAGAGAGTCAGTCGAGAACGAGAGGGAGAGGGGAGATGGAGGGGAGAAGAGAGGGAGAGAGGATGTAGGGAGAGGACAAAACACATGGAAGAGGAAGGGGAGATGGGACGAGCGTAGAGCAAAGGATGGGATAAGGAAGTGGAGGAGAGAAAGGGAGGAGAGGAGAGCTAGGGAGCTAGGAGGAGGAGGAGGGTGTAAGCAAGTCTTACCGAGCACTTTGTTGAGGAGAGCTACGGCCACTTTCTGGTTGGCGAAATGATCGTCGACGACGAGGACGCGCAGCTTCTTCTCCTGCTGCTAGAAGACCAGGTAAGATGCGAGCAAGTCGAAGTCGCAGCTGAGAGAGAGGGAGAAAACAAGAGAGGAAGAAAACAAGAGAGGAATGGAACGAGGAGGAGGATGACAGCAAATGACTGAGCTCGCCATCACCCGTTCCTCGTCGGGATGACTCACGTCATCCAACTCAGAGATCTTCTCGGAGTCTCCCGACGCGACGCTGCTGCTCCTTTCCGTCTTTGCCGCCTGCTGGTCTCAGTAAGGGCGAGGCTGACGAGCTCTAGGTAGCTGAGGTACCGTAATCAGCAGCATCGAGTGGATCTTGGAGTGCAGCAAGCTGTGCTTGATAGGCCGGGGAACCAGCCGAGTCGCCATGTCGTCTTGCGACTCTATCAGCTCGAACTGAGAGTCGATGTAGCCGAAGATGAGGAGCCGAGAAGGAAGCTGCATCTGCTTCTTCAGCAGCTCCTTGTACACCTCGATCTGCACGAGGAAGACAGGGGGAGAGTCGCTGCCCAGCGTTCTCTTGATCTTGGACACGAGCCGGATCATGGACATGTTGGAGGGTTCAGGCCCGTCGTAAGCGAAACTTTCAGGCTTCATCTTGTGGTTGCGGCAAAAGAGCTCGACCGATCGGAAGGAGGGACCGCGAGCCATGCAGAGGACGAGCTGAAGATCATGGGGAAGGGGCTTGTCGTCGTGGCGATGGAGTTTGTCCTCGGACGAGTGCGACTTCTCCTCCTCCGCGGGAAGCTCATCGGCCACCTCCTCTTGCTTGTAAATGGCGAACGGTACGACCATCCTGTTGCATGTCAGTGCCACTCCGAGAGCAGAAGAAATAGGAGCAGGAGTAAGAGAAGAAGGAGCAGGAGCAGGAGGAGCAGGGACAAAGGGAGGAGGAGCAGGAGAGGCAAGGTGGGACCTGAAGGTTGAGCCCTTCTCAAGGCCGTCGCTGCAGCATGTGATGGTTCCTCCCATGCTGGTGACGATCTTGTGTGTGATGGCGAGGCCGAGGCCTGTGCCTCCATGCTCGCGGGAGTAATGGGACGAGATCTGTACTGCAATCAGCCACCTGCGACACGAGGAGAAGGAGGAGAGAGAAGGGAGGGAGGGGGGGGGGGGAAGGGAAGTGACAACCTGCGAGAAGGGTTTGAAGAGAAGGTCCAAGCTCTCGCGGGCGATTCCGACTCCGTTGTCCTGCACCTCCACCTGCTCGACTTTGAGACAGACACGAATCCTACCATGGGGAGATGTGCAAACACGAAGAACATATGCTAACAACCTGAAACAGCCGCAACATGCTCAAGTGACAACAGAAAGGCAAACGGCACAAGCTAAACAAGCACAGACAACAACGCTGATGGTCAACCTGGACAACGGCCCAGTCGCTCGAGGATCGCTGGAGGGAGACGCGCATGTGAGCCTCGCCCCCCGTCTTCCGTGCGAACTTTACAGCTGCAGGAAGCTTTACCCCGAGCCTGACACTCAGCTGCCCACTCACCGTTGTCGCAGAGGTTGACAAGGCACTGACACAGCTGGAACGAGTCGCCCACCAACATCAGCTTCTTCCCCTCCTCGTGTCCATGGTGGCCGGAAACCTTGACGGCAAAGTCCACCTCCCGAGCCGCCACCCTCGAGCTCATCATGTCACAAACGTTGTCGCAAACTTGCTCCAGGAAGAAGGGCTGCAGAGCTTTCGGTGTCTCCTCCTCCCCGGAGGTCTTGAAGAGTTTGGATTCCGAGTCCAGCTTGGCAAAGTCCAGGACCTGGGAACCATGACGTGAATACAATCATACGACACAATGAGCTCGATGATGTACAAACCTGGTTTATGACACTGAGAAGAGATTCGGCGGAAGTCAGGGAAGAGGTCACGTACTCTGTCTGTGTGGTGCTGCGAGCGCGGGAGCCAGGTCAGGTCTAGTCCATCTCGAGGGGGATCATCAGAAACACCTCAAGTCGTCGGACTCGAGGAGCAGGGAGTTGAAGGCGATGATAGAGTTCAAGGGTGTGCGCAGCTCATGGCTGATGTTGGCGAGGAAGCGCGAGGAGAGACGAGCAGAGGTCTCGGCCTCTATCACCGCCATCTACCATCGCTCGTCAGCGTCACTCCACCATGCGCATCTACAGAGATCACCTGCATGGCATGATCCATCATCTCGGAGCGCACAACCTTGCTGTTTCTTGCGTCCTTCTCCGCTTGCAGCTGCTCCAGCCGAAGTTCTGCCACGGTGTCGAGGAGGAAGAAGTTTCCAGTGATGAGCGTAACGGAGTAAATCGCCTTCGTCGCCAGGTCCACAAAGGACTGGGCGATATCATACTGAGTGAAAGTGATGGTCCCTGTGTGGAAGCATCTTGTGAGTGATTTCTCGCGGAATGAACTGAGTCATCAATACCTGAGAAGTATAACACGTGCACCAATGGGAACAGCGACCACAAGACGATCGTGAAGATTTCGAGCACCCGCAGAGAGACTACTTCGTAGACTGTCGCAACCTTCGATATGCTGCAAGACCACAGTGAGAGGAGGAGGCATTCACGAAAATTGTTTTTGTCCACACCTGATCAATATCGCACCGTGAAGTTTTTGCATCACTTGGTAGAAGCAGAAGCATGCAGTCAAAAGGAACATCCAGCCCAACAAGGAAAACCCCAGGTAAGCATGAAGCAAGCCTGCCGGCACACGGATCAGTCCGCCCGTTAGGCAAAATTTGCAGAGCAACCTGCGAAAATCATCGCCTCATCCCACAAGACGCATTTGACAAGTTCCTTGACGTCATGAATGAGATATTTTTGTAGAGTATTCCCCAATGCAGACAAGACAAATATCATGCAAGGAGTTGTGTTCATCCACTGAAAGAATCTTTCTACGGATACCCTCTTCCCGTCGAGAGAGTAGATGGCCGGTATCCAACCAAAACAAGCAGATAGGTAAACGACAAAAGAAACCGTGTTGATGAAAAAGACTAAACTGTTCAATGCCCGCTTCTTCTTGGAGATCTGAAAGCATATACCTCCAATGTCCATCAACATGCATATCACAAACAGGAACGAAATCTGCATCTTGACGAACTTGGTCTTCTCCATAATAACAGCATCATCAGAATCTCCGGGGACCGATCCTGTCATTCGACTCGAGATCCAGTGCACGAGGAAGATCAAGAGAGAATAGAACACTATCCAAACAGAGAACAGCACCATGCCAGGAAAGTTCGACCACAAGGAAGGGAGACTCCATGACCCCCTCTCTTCTGGTGATATCTCATCATCTTCGTCTTCATCAGGTTTATCTTCTCGGTTCATCTCTAAAATGCTATTCGAGGACCTCCATGATTTTATCCATTTCTTGGATTCAGCTTTGGTCGGTTTAGCTTTCATTCCATTGTCACTCTTTCTCCTTTTTCGTAGAGGCCAGAATGTGCCTGATTCTAGTGGATTATGTGAAGCAGAGTGACCAAAACCATGATCATTTTCAACCTTTTCTTCCACGCATACATGCGATTTGGTTGAAGAAAGATCTGTTTCTGATATGCTCGCTATTGTGAGATGATCAAAGCCAGACTGATCTGAATTCTTTTCGCCGAATGGCATAACACGGCAAGCCGCCACCTCCAATCCAAACTTGGTTTAAGCAGCTTCTAATCTGATAGTGAATACAAGTGTTAATCCAAAATCAAACGATACAAAACAGACAAACAAAACAACAAAAACAAAAGTCGCCTTGGACCTTCTATTCCGTATGCACCCAGACGATGTTTCCATACACACAATTCAAAAAACTTCCTTTGGAATCGTTCCCTCCATCACAACCTAATCGAGCTTCTTCCTTCCTTCTTCCTTCCCCTTCATTCCGTCCCTCGCTGCCCCGCCCTCGCCATGGCTGCAGGGGCATCTCTAAAACATTGTAGGTGGTGGCCATAGAAACCTCCAGACCCTAAAAAAGCTTCCACGTGATATCACGTGATCTGCAATTAATGTCACGTGGTCTCATTTGTTGGTACAAATAGAGTCAGCTGATCTGTCAGGTGACATCACACCGTTAAATGAAAGAGTCATATCTACTTGAGTAAAACTTTCCCGTACCTTCCACCTCTACCACCCACCGTGATCAATGAAACGATGCCTTCAAAAGTACCCCACCCAATGATAGTTTTGACTGATTTTTTCTTGGGAAAGGATAGGGTTATTTCACTACCCCACCCTCCACCTACCTTTCGTCCGAGCGCAATTGTATTTGTGTAACAAAACCCGCCAGATTTGGTTGTGACTCGTGAAATTTCACCTCCAGTTTCATCTCCGCCTCCCTTAAAATTCCAAATGTTCCCCACAAAGCAAATGCATATCTCCAGATTCTCCCTTCCGAGATAGGCGACTCTCACCTTTCCGCAATAAATTGAATATGTTTTTTAAAGTCCAGTCTTTTACTCAAAGTTAAGTTAAAAATTAGTACCAAGTCCAGGACCTTTTTTGAACTTTGATCAGTGACCCGGGACCGTCGGGCCTGGCACTACAGGCCCGGTAACTTCAAAGGTCTGAAAACGGGGAGTTTTGATTCGAAAATGATTATAGTTTCAAAAAGTTGATCTGAAAATGATTACTGCAAACTTTCGTTAAATGAAAAATGATTACTCCAAAAATTTGTTGGTTGGAAATTGATGATTGCCCGTCTCAAAATCCACCCGGAGTCCGGGCCGTGCCGGGTGGCTCACTCGGAGTCAACTCGGAGTCCGGTCTTGAATAATTGCTTAATAGCTTTGAGTAAAATAATTCTATTGTAAAAGGCTTGGCGGCCATTCTGTAATCCGTACTACCCCACCCCTGTTTTTGCCCACCCCCTACATTCCTCACTGCCCAAGGTGTACCCCCCCCGGGCCAGTTCACCAACCACAAATCAGAGCAGTACCCGGTACTATTAGGCGGGTAGACCACCACCCCACCCCACCTGTGTGCCTTCAACCTTCGAGATTCCTCTTCTCGCTCTTACGGCCTTGCAGTGAGTCCTCAAAACACAACCACGGGGGTGGTACCAAATTTTTTCATCTTTAATAATGAAAACATTTTGGTTACATTTCAATTTCAAATTTAATTGGATAATTTGAACCTTTCCGATGAAAATGACCCTCCGTCGGGAAGCGGAGTTCCGACGTCCATTTCGTGGTACCCCATCAAAGCACTGATGGCGGCAAGCCTTGCCCCTGAGCGGCGAAAAATGCTCCGCGGCTCCTGACATTGATATTTTTTACTCTCCGAAGTTTTCTTTCCATGCCTGCTGACCTCTCTGTCCGCGCCTACCCATCATCATGCCGCATCCCGAGCCTCAGTCTGCCGCTATCATGGAATGCTTCACCTGCACCCGCTTCTTCCCATCCCATTCACAAAGTTCCACATTTTCGTCTTGTGATATTACTAAGTTATGACCTTCACCCCTTCCCTCTCCTAACATTGTTTCACTGATCCTCTTTTCACCTGTCTTGGAGCAAAGTTCTCTGAAACTGCCCTTGTATTTTGTCTTGCTGCCTGCTGTAGCTTGAATTCTCAATATTTCCCATAGAGCTGAAACTTAGTAAGAATGTGATGTGATTTTTCACCAATTCGCAGCAAGTTGACTTTAGATGATTCAGTATCTAACTTGCCACAAATGGCTAAGTTGCATTCCTCTGACAGCTTTCTCTAAAGATGGGAAGGGCACTGGTTCAGATCGACTTCACTATCCCTTAACTCCGCGGATCGTCCTGCTGTAAGAAAGACATGTCGAACCATCTCCTGGTAGGAGAGATCGTGACGGAGGAGCAAATGGTGCACATCATCCACTCGGACGACTGGTTCAAACGTACCCCCAGCAACCCTTCTAGTTCCCACACTAGCAAGAGCAAGTTTGGGGGCCTTCTCGGAGACATATCCCATGCGCTTCGCAGTCTAGTCTCCAACCAGAAGTCTTCAGCACAACGGAAAGTCGACACGGTCAGCCCTCCATGGCGGCAAGCCTACACCCCGGGCAAGCAGAGGCAGGAGGCTAGTCCCGCTGTTTCTCCTCGCAGCACAGGAGACGACCAATGGTTGAACCGCAATGGCCCGTGGGATACCAACATTCTGATGCTGGCTAGGCGCGGGTTCTTCTACAAGGAGAGGCAAGCGGATGTAAGAGTTGGACGTGAGCGAAGTCTGCGATGTGACGAGCTGTTGTTGTGCAGGGGAGGGAGGAAGCAGACCTGAAGCCGAGGATATCAGATTCTTTGTTGATGCAGAAGATTAGCTATCTCTCCGATGTCCGCCACAAGCTCTCCAAGTTCGGTGCTCCTCCCCAGACCATCGCTGATCTGGAGCAGAACATCCTTTCTCTTCAGAGGGTACAGCAGGCCATGATTGTACTCCGCAACAGGAACTCATTGGATTACATTCAAAACCTTTCAATGTCTTCCACGTCACATGCTCATCTGAAATCATCCCATGAGAGAGATAGCAAAGACGACCATCATCATCAAGTCTCTCCCTTAGTTGGACCGTCGACCTCCCCCCAGGTTTGCACACCATGTTTCTTTCGCGGCCCTTGTCCTGATCACAATCGAATTGAAGGTCGAGGCCTCGATCATACTGGTCAATCCCGATACAACAGACCAACGGAATGCGTTCAGGAGCAAGCAGGCGGTAGTTTGCAAGAGTCTCTATTCTTCTCTGAGAGCTATGGTCTTGCCAGGTTGCTTTCAGCCGTATGGACGACATGTCAATCGGGTTGGGAAAGATTGAGTACGAAAGAAACAGACCCAATCAAAGCAGCGTGGAAGAATCTCCTATTCCGCGTGCTGAAGTAGAGAGAAATGCTCTACAAGGAGCCACCTTGGGCCTGGGGAAGATGAGCTACGAGTGTACGCTCGACGTCAATCCGTCTCAACTCGCGGGTACTCCTTCCTGACCTGCCTCCTCGTGCCCCTCCTCCTTTTGACCTGATGAACAGGAGAGCACAAGGCCCGGCCAGTTGAGCATAGAGGATATGAATCTTACGTCCGTGAACCCAGCACGGGCGAGGCGTCGCAGCGACAGCCTCCAACGCGTTCGCCATTGCAACCCAAGGTTTCCCCGAGAGGATGGAACTTCGAAGTCTACCCGACGATCGCGAGTTTACAGATTTCCCCGCGTGAAACCTTCTCCAACGAGCTTGAAACAACTCCAAGTCAACAACCTCAATCCAAATTCACAAGCTTCGTGCCTGAACGCCGGGGGCAGAGTCTTCCTCCCACCTTCCCTAATTCCTCTTTCCAACCCCGGCTTCCCTCTCCCCCTCCTACCAACGCTTCCCCTCTCCCTTCTTCTTCCCCTCCCCCTCCCCTTCCCCTTCTTCCCCCAATGTCTCCTTCATTGGAATTTCGAAAAGAGGCGTCTGCGGTCAGCCATCAACCAACGGCCTCGGTTGCGAACTTAGAGGGAAAGAGGTTGTCCGATGAACCAATTTCATCCACTGCTACAAGAGCAAGCGTTGAACAGCAAGTTGATACTCCATCTCGTTCCCAGCGCGCAGACGATGTGCAGCACAAGATTTCATCGAGGCAAGGAATGACAACCCCGAAAACATCAGCTGCTGCGATATCGAAGAAGAGCGATGGTTTTGAACAGGAGCAGAAGCCATCAGAATCGGTGCCGCAAAGAGAAACAGAAAAATCGGAAGGAACAAAGTCGACAAGTTCTCCCGCAAAGTTGCAGCACAAGTGGCCTCCTCAACCAACGAGCACCAACAGCAGCACAACCGCTGGAAGATCTCAAAACCTCTCTGACCTGACTGCTTCCAGCACCTCACTGGCGGCAAGCGAAGAAAGAAATGATCCCAAAGTAAGGGCATTAGAAACGAGGGATGTAAAACGGACGGCAGTCACGCCTTCTACCACGGGACTTGCGCAAGAGCAGCCTGGGGGCATGCTTGAAGCGAAGGCCAGGTCTGAGCGGCTGATTCATTCGGAGAAAGGTGAGGGAGATCCATTGCCCAGTGGCAAGGCACGTACGTCACCCTTAGGAAGGGTTGAGCTACGAGAGCAGAAGGTCGAGCATCCAGCTCGGTCGGCCAACACGGTCAGGGAAGCGAATTCAGCCGCAGCTCTAGCACCACAACAACCACCGCGACAACCACCAGGAGGCAGACAAGAATATCCTGCTCCGTCAGTAAGCAAGGACGAGGCAGCAACACCAGTGCAACCGCCACCCCAGGCTCCAGGACCAGGGCAAGCTCCGCCTATACCAAAAGGAGGAGAAAGAGGAGGAAGATACAACATAGAGCATCCAGTTCCATCGGCAAGCATAGGTCAGACAGCAGCAACACTTGCAAAGGTGCCACCACCAGTACCAGCACCAGCACCAGCACCACTTTCTCCTGCAGCACCAGCACCAGCACCAGCACTAGCACCGGCAACAGCACCAGCAGCTGCTCCACTTTCTCCTGCAGCACCAGCACCGACAACAGGAGGCACACAGGACCAGCTTGCACCGTCAGCAAGCAAAATAGAGAAAGCAGCTCCATCTTCTCCAGCTCCTCCAGCTTCAGTGCAAGCTCCAGCTCAAGCTCCAGCTCCAGCTCCTGCTCCAATGCAAGCTCCTGCTCCTGCTCCTGCTCCTGCTCCAATGCAAGCTCTAGGAACAGGCGATGTAGAGCATCATGCTCCGTCAGCAAACAGAGTAGAGAAAGCAGCGTCTTCAGCTCTAGCTCAAGCTCCAGCTCCACCTCCTGCTCCAGCTCTAGCTCAAGCTCTAGCTCTAGCTCCAGCTCAAGCTCCAGCTCCTGCTTCAGAAACAGGCGATGTAGAGCATCATGCTCCGTCAGCAAGCAAAATAGAGAAAGCAGGGTCTTCAGCTCAAGCTCCTGCTCCAATGCAAGCTCCTGCTCAAGCTCCAGCTCCAGCTCCATCTTCTCCAGCTCAAGCTCCTGCTCCAATGCAAGCTCCTGCTCCAATGCAAGCTCCTGCTCCTGCTCCTGCTCCTGCTCCAGCTCTAGGAACAGGCGATGTAGAGCATCATGCTCCGTCAGCAAGCAAAATAGAGAAAGCAGCTCCATCTTCTCCAGCTCCAGCTCCAGCTCCAGCTCAAGCTCCAGCTCAAGCTACTGCTCCAGCTCCTGCTCCAGCTCAAGCTCCTGCTCCTGCTCCAGCTCTAGGAACAGGCGATGTAGAGCATCATGCTCCGTCAGCAAGCAAAATAGAGAAAGCAGGGTCTTCAGCTCAAGCTACAGCTCCAGCTCCAGCTCCAGCTCCAGCTCCAGCTCCAGCTCCAGCTCCTACTCAAGCTCCAGCTCAAGCTCAAGCTGCAGGAGAAGGCAAGGTAGAGCATCCCGTTTTATCGTCCACGAAGGTCGAGACAGCAGAGGGAAGGGGGGAGGACAAGGACGGAGACGTTTCAAGGAACAACGCATCGGCAGCGAGCAGCAGAGTCGATCGACAGCCAGTTTCCATCGCTCAGGAGATCCGTGTCCGAAGGTCCAAGGAGCCGAACATCTTCAAGGACTTTCCAACGTCAAGAGATCGCAACATGCATCAAGGGAGCAGGGAAGACGAAGCAGACAAGGTCGACCCCACAAGATTCTCTCGCAAGAAAGACAACAATCACGATCCAGACCGAACCTCGTCCGGTGCGACTGACCCTCCCCGCCCGCCTCACTTCCTCCTCTTCCTTGCACAACCTCCTTCTCTCTCGTTACACTTCTGGCAAACCCTATTCCCCAACTCGCTCCTCCCTCCTCCCTTCTCCCTCCTCCCTCCTCCCTCCTCCCTCCTCTTTCCCTCTCCCCCACCTTTCCCCCTCGGGTGGCTGACTCAATCTCCATCAGCAGGCAGCCAGCACAGCCAGCACAGCAGAAGTTCCTTGCAAGGAGGATTGCCACGTGGTGAATTACGTCTCCTCCAATGTGCCTCAGGACTCACTTGTTGTCCTCCACAGATGCTTCCTCCGCTGACCGAGCGGGCAGGGCTCGGGGCAAACCCTCCGACGCGGAGCTGAAGCAGCAGCAGATGGAGATGCTCGCGCGTTTGAAGCAGGTCACCTCCCTCGTCAGCAGACCTTCTCCCAAGCCCGCAGCTGCTCGGACTCCTCCTCCTCAGCCTGTCAAAGATCGCCCCCCAGCTGCACTTGAGCAGGGACGTGCGGCCTCGGAGACCCCACAGGGAGCAGCAGAGAGGACGAGAAGGGAGACTTCGACTCCCGAGCCCTCCTTGAACTTGTCGCCCCTCGGCGGGTCAGGCGGCACCCAGCCTGTTCGCTCCCCCAGGATGGCTCGAAAGTCACCTCGAGCAGAAAAGCGCAAGTCAGAAGCTCTCCATCCCCTCCCCTCCCTCCCTCCCTCCCTCCCT